GTCCTCTTCTGCTACTGAGAGACTTAAATGAGTTAATGTGTATGATGAGATCTCATTGACATGAGATGTTTTTATGAAGGAGAATAGACAGCATGACATTTGTGCAGCTTAATCATATGTTTATCTTAATCCTTTAAATAATAATAATGTGAACATCAATGAATGTCTGCCTTCTTTCTCTGTTAGGCTCTGGACCAGGTACTCCCCACAGTCCTGGCAGAAAGCCTCTGAGATAGGCACCTCCTGTGGGCAGCCGATCGGTCTTAAATCATCCCACTCACTATCACACTTTGTAAAGGTCTTCAGACCTGCAAACACTGTTTCCCAGACCATCTGTTACTCTCTCAAAACTTGAGGGAAGAATGTTTTGGAAGAGAAGCAAGGAAGAATAGCTGTGAAAGAGGAAGGCCTCTCCAAGCTTAGACCCCTGAGAGACTGGTGAATATTTTGCAGGCAGACCCTCTAGTAAAGGATTTTCGTGGTGGTATAAACTACTTCAGAATTCCCTCCCTCAGCAAATACGTATTCTGTTCCTGCCTGCTGCATGTAAGGCCCTGTTCTGTGCTGTGGGAAGGCCACAGTCAACAAAACAGTCATTCTGCCCTCGTGGAGGTGACGTCAAGCAGATAGTCTCCCATAGTCTCTGTCATATTTTGGCAATGGGAGCAATGACACTAAAATGGAGATGTGAATAACAACAGTAAAATGGATGGCAAAGAATGTTCCTAATTGGCTTTGTACTGATATCCTTTATAGTTGTCTATCAAAATTACTGCTTGTTCACATTTAAATACACATGTATGTACTGATACGAAGTCAGTAGATGGAAATAAAAAAATGAAAGTAGTAAGCATACATCTTTATATTTTCTTCCCCATATGAAAGCAAAAGGAAAAAGGAAAAATGGGCTTCATTTTTAAAATAAGGAGTATGGTTTTTACATGGTCTTCTCCTTTTAATGTCTCCTAGGAAAATGCATTCAACTGTGCTAAGAATTAGTCATTCTAGTTGTATAAAAGCATGGAAAATTATCACATGTTAATTTCTGCTGACCTCTTTTAAGCCATGTAAAATACTTTTTCAATTAAAAGGCTGATTTAATTTACTAAGAGTTTAGTTATGTATGAGCTGGATTGAAAACCAGATTATAAATCATTTCAGCATAACATTTGGATAAAATATTAAGATGATTTTAGTTTATGATGTTCTGTCAGGGAAAGGCATGAGAATTAGCTTTCTCATGACAGTTTTAATAATCATTATTTCTGAACAAAATAGAAATACTGTATTTCCGTAGGAAGAACACTGCTTGACATTTGATCTCTTATTTCAACAAGTAGCTGAAATCAAGGAGGACACAAAATATCACTATGATTTTGAAAATGGAGTAGTTTCTTTTCAAATATGATATAATACAGGAAAAGGTATAGCCATTTACATTGTCGAGCAGTTGTTTTAGTTGTTCAGAAGCTCAACTGCTCATTACAACTACTTGCGGAGCTTTTCGAACAGTTCTGATATGTGGGTCTTAACCCAGACACATCAGATCTGAGCTGCTGGGAGTGGAGACCAGGTGTCACTATTCATCCACATCCATCCTGATGTCTAGTCAAGGCTGAGAACTGCATGATAAAGGGGTGGACTCAGGAACAAGCAAGTTTAGGGAAAGCTTTGGAGAAAGCCCTGAGCATACACTGATGATGCGAACGTCTTCTCTGCCAAGATTCTGCAAGCACTGCCGAAAACGGTTAAAAGTTCCTAGAAATTAAGACCCAGAACAGTAGTGGGAACATACAGGCTGTACTTGGAACTGATCCGTCTCATAACCAGGGCTGAAAGGACCTAGTACTGCCGCTGCCGTTGGGTGCTGCCTCTATGGCAGAAGCAGTTTTAGGCAGTGAAAAAGAGAAACCTACGTAAATGTGAGTCTGAGTTTTTGTTCACTTCCTAGAATTTGTTTTTGTTTGTTATGTGGGAGAATAATTGTTTCATAACTGCTGTTTCCATGAATTTTTTTTGCCTGTGCAATGAATCGTCCTTTTGCACATACATTTCAAAGTAAGACAAATCACAAATAGGAGATACTGGGTCAAACCGCAACTGTAAAGCTTTGAACCAGTTTTCATTTATGGAGGCTTCCATTTTCACATGTTTCTGGGCTGTGTGCTGGGGGTGGGGTAATGATGAACAAGATGCAGTACTGGCCACAATGAATTTACTAAGGCTTGGAAGTAGACAGGATAGTTGCAAATAAATAAAGGTAGTTGTATTAGTAAGGGTTCACCAGAGAAACAGAACCAGTAGGATAGGTAGGTAGATCAGATAAATATAAGAGGAGATTCATTATAGGAATCAGTTCCCTCAGTTCTGGTGGCCAAGTAAGTCCCATGATCTGCTATCTGCAGACTTGAAGAGCCAGGGAAGTTGGTGGTGATTCAGGCCCAAGTCCTGAGAGGCAAGTGGGGTTGCGAGGTGGTCTAAGTCCCAGAGGTCTGATGCTCAGATATGGAGAGAAAGATGTTTGAGGGAAGTGACATTGACCAAGTAGGAAGGTGAGTTGTTTGGTTACAATGTGTGTGAACCTAAGTGTGAGACTGAGCACCTGGAGGTGCAAAAAACAGAGGATACACTGTGGAATCATCTGTGGCCCCAGAAAATAGTTTAATAACAAGAGCTTCTCTTTAAATTTACAAATTCACTTTAAATTTACAAATAGAGAGCTCAGCTAAGAAACAGGCAGTAATAATTCATTGTTTTTGTGCACAAAAACTTTTTGACCATTTTCATCAAAGCAATTTACTTGGTATTTTGTTCTCAATTATTATATGCCCACTGTTTTTAAACTTTTGGGTAGCATCTTTTAGGACAGTGAATTTTTTTCTGAATACTGTGATTTCGAAGAAAGTATGTGTTAAATATACCATATTATAATAAAGTAATGTATTTGTGACCTTCCTCTCTTTTGCCTTACTTAACTGACTATAATTTTAGATAGACTTTGGTATTTTCAGAGAAGATATATTTCATTGACATGTCTATTGTGCTAAATAGAAACTTCAACTTTGAGTAGATAAAATTGCCATTTATCATCTATTTTTGTTATTAGGGAAAAAAAGTCACTGGGGGTGGCAATTTTAGTGAAAAATTAAATTGAAAATTTCATCACAATGAAAATTAGAATTTGTCATTCTGTCTTCAATTATGTTGGCATCGTGTAGCTACAATAACATGTTAGACCTTACCATCCCCCACCTCCACCCCGCCACACACATTGTCCTTCCCTCTTCCTCTGACCCTCTCTCTCTCTCTCTCTCTCTCTCTCTCTCTCCTCCCCTCCTTTCCCTCTTTCTATATTAATTTTAAAATGGAGACCTATGTTTCTACCTGAACAATCTTTTATCAAGATTTGGGCTGCAGCAAGATTTCCTTTCCATTCCAAGTAGGCTTTGTTAATCAACCCTAGCATGCTTTTTCCAGACCTTTCCTTATTTGTCTTGTTTTTAGTCCAGTGCTCCACACAGCCAGGGTGGGAGACATCATTACCCTACAAAAAATCTATCCAGCAAAGCATCGTCCATGTCCTGTAGTAACAGCGCCAGCCCATGAGGATCATCTGGGGTGGTCAGGCCCTCACCTGGGCCTTCTGGCTCAGAGTCTCCAGGGAAGGGGCTGGGAAACCCTCCCATTCAGTCATGTCACCTTCAACAGCTTTTACTGTCTGAACAACTAATCTGAGAACAAATAGATGTATCCACAAACAAATTCCTATACTCCTTACAAAATCCTTCCTGCCCAGGAGATTAACTGCAAATAATTTCACCTTCAAAATATTAGACTTATTTATGTAGGTATTGTGAGTTTGCCCAAGAAGCTTTTTCTAGGGGTCAAGGTTATAGCAGTAGAAAGAATGCTTAATGATTTAGAAGATGGTCACTCTAAATGTATGAAAACTTGATACCAGTGACTTGTGTTCAAACTGAGTAAACAAACTGGAGTCCCATATGTCTATTCCAATTATGCAGATGTATTTACCTGCCCATGGCATTAAGCTCTGGCAGAATGAAACTGTCACATGGCAACTCAAGAGGGTGACAAGGCAGCAAAAGAAATCTTAGGATGCTGCATCTTATTATCCCTCCAAATCACTTATTTGAAATCACTTTAATATAGAATCCCTACTATAAAGCAGTCACTCTAACTAAAGAAAAATATTATCACTGGGAAGAACACTTTTTCTTACACAGTTTAGAGCTCTTACACGGCACTTTCCACGAGTAATATTTTACTTGACTGTTTGGCTACTCATGCATTTGTTATAATGCCTACTGAATTTTTTTATTTACTATTAAAATAATCGGTTTTTCAAGTCCTTTCTTTTTTGGAAACAGTCACAATCCACTAAATGGAAGCCATAGGGCAGTTTGTCTTAAATGCTAGGCATTAGTATGCTAATTATCACCACTACTTTCTACAGGCTCAGGGGTCACCTTCCAGCTTCAGCCACCCATTCAGGCTGTTTAAATAGAAGACTGTTGTTGTCTTTTATTCTTACTGTCTCAATACAAGAAATGCCTTAAAAAATGCTCTGGTAATGTTGCCTATAACGCTAGATAAATGATCAGAAGTTGCAAATGCGTTGCCAGGCGTTACAGGGTGCAGCTGTTTTTGCATAACCTGTGTTGGCTTGAACTGGTCTTCCCCTCCTAGCCATGTTGGCTAGCTATTTCTTACACTAAGGTCACCTCTTGGTGGTGTTACCAGTTGGAGGTCATTTCTGTAACCAAATTCACCTTGTGAGAGAGCAGTTATGTTGACAGAATAACACAGTTACCCCCACATTGTGCACTGAATGTAAGATAATAGAGAAGCAGAGGAGGAGGAGGATATGCCACACATGTCTGGAGGAAAAGCCTTGGGAATAAGCATGTGTGTTTATCTGCTCTCAAGAATAACATGGTTTTCAAGATAACTGATGATAAACTTATTTTCAAATGCTGTAGGTAGCCCTAGTGGAGAACCTTGTGGAAAGACTTGCTTGGAAGAAAGAGACAATCAGTGGCTGGGGGTCACGCTTTCCAGACAGCCAGGAGAAAACGGATCTGTTGTGGTAGGTTATTGGAATCGGTCCACTGATAACATCATGAAATCAGGTATTCTGGGTGTGACTTACATCATGTGCTCTACTTTTATGTTTTATTCAGACTTGTGGACATAGATGGAAAAATATATTTTATATAAAGAATGAAAATAAGCTCCCCACAGGAGTTTGCTATGGAATGCCCTCTGATTTACGAACAGAATTAAGTAAAAGAATAGCTCCATGTTACCAAGGTAAGGCATGATTTTGATATTAACTAGACCAAGAGAGACAAGTGAATGCTATAAAAAAAGTTTTTCTCTCAGTTTTGGATGCGGGGAGATCATTGAAATAGCTTTGTTGTTTTTAACTAAAAGTATTCTTTCTTTTTTTACTCAATTACAATAGTATTACCTTTAGAAATGTACTTTGTGTTTTTAGGAATAGAAATTCTACAGTTTCTCTCATTTGAAGAATTTAGGAAACTAGTTTTAACTACATACTTTTGCATAAAATATATTTTCAATTCAGTATAAGTAAGTCTAATGCTCAGTAAATATAGGACAGTTGAAATCATGAAATTAGATTAAAAATCTGATCAGAAAGAAGAAAACTGCTTAGATTTCTTGCTTTACATTTAGCTTCTAAGAATATTCAGAAAGATTCAAGTTAAGTGTAAATAAATCTTTCCCACTCACTATATCTTTTTTTTTAATTCAAATGTTTTCCTTGAAACAGCAAGAGTTTGAAAGATTTTCCCATGAAATTCTAGGTCATGGGCAGCATTAATACAGGCTGAGCTAGTACATAAATAAACCACTGAAGTGACCAAAATTAAGGGTGTCTACAGAGCATTAAAAATGATATCTGCACCAGAGCTGAAATGCTAAAAATGTTTTTGGAAAACTCAGAATTAAATATAAATGCATTCCAGTTTTCAATTTTTCTAATCAAAATGATTACTGCTGTGTCTAAAGACAATTTCTTAACTGACAAAATTTTGACCAAGTATGCAAATTCAGTTATTGATTCTGTTAATATTGGGGTCTTTCCTCTGGCATTTGATGCTGTGGAAAAGCTGATTGATGCATATGCCTTCTTTGCCTTTGGATGTCAAGAAGATAAATGAAATTGAATTTGAAATTTGAATATGAAATTCTCAATTGCAGTAAAACTCAGTCTAGATTTCTGAGTGTTCATTATCCTCTTTCCTAATAGTTTATGGTTTATATTTTAAAACATTTTCACAGTAGAGTCTTTATTTTTGCTCAGATATACCTAGTCTTATTCTACAAAAAAAAATAAATAAATTCGAGATAGCAGACTTAAGACACTTAAAATTATAGGGAAAATTACTAAATTTTTTTTTAATGGGATCAGGAAAGATATAAAAAGGAGTGGAAAATTACAAGGAGTAGGAATTATAAGTGATTTAGCAATTTATTTAACTTTTCTGTTAGCTAAGCCAAAAGAAGGATGTAGTTCTGATTCTTATTTTCATAGATGTTTACTTATATCCATTCTTTCGGAGAGGCAAAGCCTTATCACCTTAGTAAGTTCCAAAAACATCCATTCATGGGGGCTTTGTTATAAGAGCTTCTCCATCTCTACATGGATCTTGACTCTGTTATTTTCAGCTGGGCATAATCTAGGAAGCCTATTTTAAATGGAAACCTAGAATGGAAGCCACAGATCCTACCTCTGTGTTAGTTCTGAATCATATTTCATATACCCATGAAAAAGAGGTAGGGTAGATATTTTTATTACTATTTCATAGAAAAGTTTTGAAGATTAATATGGAAGATATTTGTGATCTTAAATGTTATCAAAGTTACTATAATTTTTAAAATGTGATAGTTTAAATATAGACCTTAAAAGGTATATTTGTAAGGATTAATAACAAGATTATGCAGATTTTGTCTTTGTTTTGAAATGAAATCCTGAATTGTTTTCTACTTCATTTTAGATTATGTGAGAAAATTTGGAGAAAATTTTGCATCATGTCAAGCTGGAATATCTAGTTTTTATACAGAGGTAATAAAAAATAGCTGCTTTGAATGTTTACATACAGAATTCTAGTTCTGAAGACCTAGAAGACTGATGTTATTCTTTACAGTAAAAATAGTACAACATCTGAATAATATGTCTCTTAAATTTCAGAGTATTACAATGTTTTCACCTCAATATATATATTTTGAAAAAATACTAACATTTAAATGGTTGTTACACACAAGATCAACTGAAAGTCTATACTAAAGAAAATTACTTGTATCAAGATTTAATAGAAAGCAAAAGCAGCTATAGTTGTTTGTTTTGTTAACTTAGACATTGAAGATACCTATCCAACTGTATTATTTTAATTGCTAATTGAGTGGGAAACAAAGCATACAAATCCATATTTTTCATTAAATTTATAAGAATTGGAAGATTTAAAAACTTAATATCATCTTAAATCAGATACATTCTCAAACTGTATTATTCACTAACACTCCAGGATATTCAGTGAAAGGTCATGGTTGTAGTCTACCCCAAATCTCCCTGTTTCTCTTAAAAGCCCATTATGAATTTATGAATGTTTTCTGAATCTATATAGACAGATTGCATCAAGCATTGGGTTAATAATTTCTGTAAATATTACCTGCTATATATAAAAAAAATCCTTCCTTAGTTTATATTTAAACTGACTTTTATTTAATTTCAGGATTGTTCAGGATATTTAGAAATAAATATGTTTGACTGCTGAAAGTTTTCATATTTCACCAAATGTCTGCTCACTCCAGCCTTCCTCTATTCGTTTTTCCTAAATTCTTACTTATCATCAAATGTGTCCCAAATTCCACTGGGCATATAATTTTTCTAAACTAA